TTTTTTTTTTTTTTTAGTTTATTTATTCTTTTGTCTGCCTTCTCTAGGTGGTGTTCAAGTTTTTCAACCCTCAGTCGGCGCAAAATAGGGAGAGTGTGCGTCGTTCAGGCCTACTCCTGTGGCAGCTGCTTATGGCGCCAGTAGATCAGATAGGAACAGAGATTCAGAGAGAGGTGTGCCTGGCCATCAGGTAAGGCATATTTTCTACATAGTGCATTGTATAAAGCAGAACTAACAGTTAAAGAATTAAAGCAGCCTTTTTTGTGTATCTCTTTTCTGTCTCTCTAGCTCAGGCCTGAATACTTTGTATCAGGGGGAAGCTGAGCTCAACAAACTGCTGAAACTGGTTCTAACTGAAGGTGAAAACTTGCTTCTAAATATAGCTGACACTGCCTCTGTTCTGTGGCAACTGTATCTCATTTTATGTGTGCTTCTGTGTCTTACTCAGGGGAAAGAAACGGTGGCCTGTCTCAACTTCGAGATGTCATCCTTACCAACTTGGCAGACCAGTTACAGAAGAACAGATTTGGGAGTGAAGAAGATGACCACTACAGGTAAGTGGAAACCCTGTCCTAGCAATGTCATGTCTTTGTTTAAAAACTTGGTTTAGCTCCACGTAGGTATATACTTGTTTACAGTGTCACAGATCTCTTTCTTTTACAGACTGAGTGATGAGCTCCTGCAGTGTATCCTCAAGACTGTTGTCCGGGAATCCTGCCTCCTCATTACCAAATGTCAGACTGTTGCTCGAGATGATTTCCAGAAGTTGCTGTCCACTGTACCAGTATGAATATCTGTTCTGCTACACTTAAATAGCATCTGTGCTCAGATCACACATTTTATGAGATTCTGCTCATGCCAACTTGAGATGGATTTTCACTTGTTGTAGGTGGTTTCTCCTAGTCTGCGCTACCTCATGGCTGTTCAGAACCACCTCCTCAGTAACACAATTCTAATCCGTCCCGATGATAACGATGACAGCGACAGCTCCCTACAAGGGGAAACAATGAAGGTACAGGTAAACATCCCCTTTAAATACCCCTACCTGTGTGTATGTGGAGTCTCTGTGTGTTTGTCCATGAAATGGAGTAACGGGAGATGAATTTTTTTTTTATGGGACAACTTTTTTTTATGACACTTGCAGTTTTAACTGATATTAATGCTACTTATTAAGGATGTGTTGTTTCTAAATAGCGGTAATAATGGGTGCTGAAAAAGGATGAAAACAGAAGTCTCCTTGTTAAAGCAACAGCTCTGATTGTACAACTTTACAGAGTATGCTTTTATCTGTTGACAATAAAATAATGTGTGAACACTGTTTATATAACGTGAAAGAAACTTGGTTGTTGAAAATCAAGGAAGCGGTGTTACATAAGTGTGGGCCTATTTTGTGTATGATCCTTAGGAACTGCAAAGCAGCATCCTGTCCCTAGCAACCAAGATTCTGGTGGGATGTGATGAAGTACTGGAGACCCTGCAGCAGGTGACCACAGCTCTGATTAACGGTGACATCCCTGAGAGAGAAACCAGGTGAATGTTTGCATTTTTAAAAAATACTTTTGCAGAGTGGAAAGATAACTTTTTGGGTAGGCAGCCACAGTGGTTGTTGGATACCTTTAATATTTATGAGACAATTATTGTATTGAATGAGCAGATGTTTAAGTGAATCTTTGGTGTCAACTATTTTACTTTAAAACCATAATGTAACTGGAAAAACACTGTTGCATCCTATAGCAAAATTTAGCTAAATCTCAGTAATGGTGCAGCCTTGTACATAAGAATAACACAATACATTAAAAGTCATTTATGAATGGAGGCTTTTATAAATCACAGTGGCTCCGTTTTACATCTTTTAACCTTCCTACTTTCTTTCATCACCATAACATTTAATTTTTGCCTTCTCTCTTCTTGTTGTTCAGATTAAAAGGCCTGGAACAAGTAACCAAGGCCACCATGCTTGGGCACCTGCTGCCAGTGTTGCTCACCGCACTGATGCACCCCAATCTGCAGACCCTCACTCTCGCTGATGCCCTCATGCCTCAGTTGGTGCAGCTAGTCCTCTACACCAGCCAGGTAGCAGTCTTGCCACTATCAACAATATAAAGCATTTTCCTTGAATACAGAAAGTAGCCATCATCATAGGATTTATTCCACTCTGTTTTCCAGACTGCACTTTTGCTAAAGACTCAGTCTCCACTTTTCACCGAAGAACCTCCCTCTATGGGTAGCTCACTAGGGCAGGGGGTGAAGGCATGTGCTGCTGATGACAAGTGAGTTTTGTGAAGGTCCACCATAAGAATGTTAAAAAATAAAAAAAAGTATTAAGTCTTATCCAAGTCATTATATATTATATAATTTTACTGCATAACAGCATTTTAATGAGGAAACTGATTTCACTGAAGTTGATTATGGCAGCTCGGTTTTGTAGAACCAGTAATTTGCTTGTATCCTTGATGTAAGAATTCTTGATGAACGTGAGGAGCCTGGTTTCCTGACTGGACTGAAAATCCCTGCCCCATGGGCTGCTGGAAAGACAGTAGAGACGGTGCACCCTGTGAGGGACAATTACAAGTTCAAGGAGACAGTACACATCCCAGGAGCCCGCTGCCTTTACCTTCGCTTTGATTCTCGCTGCTCCTCACAGTATGATTATGACAAGGTAATGAGTACACCAATTGTATGCACACTGGCCTTCATTCTTTGTAACGTTTACAAACCTGGTATGCAGTTTCACAAACAGCAAAACTCTGGTTGGGGATAGTTTACACTAAATGTTTTCTCTGATATTTTAGTTGGTTATCTATGCTGGTCCTAACACCAACAGTCGTAAAGTAACGGAGTATGGAGGGAATACTCTGGGATATGGCAGTCGCAGTGTGCTGGGGACAGGGTGGCCCAAAGACCTTGTCAAGGTAAAAGAAGCTGTTTTGCACAAATGAACATGCTGTGCACATGTCTTAAAAGCTAAGCTTTTTCTGCATCCTGTTTTAGGTTGAAGGAGACACTGTGACATTTTCCTTTGAAATGAGGAGTGGACGTGAACACAACACCCCAGATAAAGCCATGTGGGGGTTCTCCTGCACCGTCAGAGCTCAGGTAAAATGTGAGAGCACTGGGTGTAAATCATACTGGCAGTGAGGAACATGAAGAACAAGAGCTATTTCTAAAGATGCTGTTTGTTTTTGTTTTCAGGAGTCATCCGAGGATGTCTCTGGAGGTCTCCCATTCCTGGCAGACCTTGCACTGGGTCTGTCAGTACTGGCCTGCTCCATGCTCCGCATTCTCTATAACGGGCCAGAGGTGACAAGAGAGGAGGAAGCCTGCCATGATTTGCTCTGCTCCAAGCTGCTGCAAAGGTGACTAAGTTAAATAAAAGTATCAGAATAAGTTCACCATGATAGTACCATGTAAGAATTTGTGCCTGTTCTTTAGTTGTATGTAGCCGAACACAGTAAAACTGCTGGCAGCCAAGGTGACAGACAGGCTTTGTTCTTTCTTTAGGTGTCAGTGGCAGGTGGAAGCCAATGGTGCCATTTCTCCTGCACTCACACCCAGCCCTTCACCTCTGCCGCTCACTATTGAGGAAGACCGTGAGTTCACCTACCCATCTGATGTGCTCATCCCTCCTCCAGGCCTTATGCCAGGGACCTACTTTGACTTGCCTCGTATACGCCTCCCTCCTGGCATCATGGGTAGGCTACGAGAGGTGTCTGGAAGGGCTCGACCACAGTTCCGTCCTAGCATCAAGTAAGAGGCTCATGCTGGCAGAGTAATAGATGGTATGCATGTGTCATCTTTATATTGTACACCTCACTGCCCCAAGTGGCACAGAGAGATCATTTGCAATTTCAGGCACTGTGATTTTTACAGACTACTAAAGAGGGTTATAGCAATATGAAGTGATGTGTTCAAAGATGTCATGTAAAATGCATGATGTAACTTTTATACTGGACTGTTCTTTTCCGGAAGGGAGGTGATCAGGCCAGATGTTATGGAAGAGGGTATAGTATCTTGTGTCATAAAACATCTAAGCCTGGTGGATGCCCTCCAGTCACTCGTGAACTACCAGTACCGTGAGGATCACGGAGAGGAGTATGACCTGCTGTGTAAGATCATGGCTGAGACTTTCAAGAAGATCAATGCAATGGAGCGTCAGCTGCAGGTGAGCTTCTGTTACACAGCAAGATTTTTATAAAGGCTGATATGCTTGTTACTTCACCATTAGTTAAAGATACACTGTGGGGGGGCTATTTCTTAAATGTGTCACAAATTGCCATCAGCTGTGGAAAATATTGTGCCACAGTAATTTTTAAATGTAGCAGTATATTTACCAACACTGATGATGTACAGTAAATGAGCACAGCCGCAGCTGTGTTAATTTGAATACACCTCTGCTTAGGATCTGCTGCCTGAAGGCTGTAGTATGTGTATGGACCTAGAAAAAGGGTAGAATAAAACTCTGAATGAACCTTAAGAACAAGAAATCAACAAACACATTTCAGAACTTTAATCATATAATCTCTTGCCAGTCAAGTCATATTTTATTTCATTCAGTAACTGAAGCATAGTTTAATCTGCAAGCCTGTAGAAGTCCTTTACATTCTCCTCTGGCCGAACGATGGATGTGATTTACAAATACCCTGTCCTTCACCTAACGTGTTCATAACTCCAGCGAGATCTCAGATGGCTAATAGCTGCCACGACGACAGCAGTGCCACAAATTGTTCACCTGCTTACTCCTGACGTTAAATTTCAGCAGCAGCTCCCTCTGTCACAGCAGTGGTAAATCAGGTGGTGAGAGTATTTGTATAAATTTCCATTCTCTCCTCACCGATTTTTGCGCCCCTGAATGCTAACTTGATGGTAATGCCTTAAAATATGAGTCCAGTTGTGTCTTGAGTTTTGAGTCCAAATGTGCACATTTCTGCGGTACCACATTTCTTCTGTTTTTCTGCGCAAAACCCCACTGCGACACTTTAGTAAATACGAATGCATGCCGTTTCACTGTTGAGCGCCAAAAAATGACCCACAGGACCTTAGTAAATATCCCCCTATGTGCACTATACATGCTGGCCATTTTTGTCTATTTTTAGTTATGCTGTTCAAGAAAGTTCTTTGTTAGATATTTAATAAGGCACTATACATGCTGGCCATTTTTGTCTGTTTTTAGTAATGCTGTTCAAGAAAGGTTTTTGTTAGATATTTAATAAAGTAGTTCCAGATGGCTACAGGGAGTAGAAATCTTTTTTTCTTGTTATACTTGGCATATTTATATTTCCTTATGCTTCTAATCACCAGGATGCTGTTGATATAACAAATTGGGGAGATGTATCATGGGCAGTATATTAAAAAACATCCTGTAAAATACGGAACTATAATATATGTAATATTAACAATAGCAGAATAAGTTATTCATTAAAATAAGTTTAAGGTTGAACAGTACACCTGATTTTAGCTTATAAAAGTAAATCAATCTGCCATCCTTAAGAGCACCAAGGAGTGGAAGATTATCTTTGTGTCTAATTAGCTCCTGTGTTGCTTGCAGAGTGTAGCAGAATTGGAACAGAAGTGGCAGAATGAGGTAGAAGAGGCCCAGCAGGGAAAGTTGGAGGACAACGCTCCTTTCTTTCATGACTACCACTTCTTTGAGGTATCCTAGTCCATACATTTGCACAAGAGATTATAAAATTACCACAACCATTTGCTTTGATATTTATAATATATTACTTTTTTGCACCAGAACAAAATTAAGGAGCTGGAACTACTTTGTTCCTTGAAGGAAGTCCCATTTGATTTTAGTGACTTGGAAAATGTTGTCCTTGCATTGAGGCAAGTAATTCAAAATAATCACATTCACATTATTTTAGTTATAGTTATGTTATAGGTCAGTCCATGCTATAACACTGTGTCTGTACCAACAGGGAGAAGTTCTTTCAAGAGGTAAACACCACACACACCAGAAGTAGCACCCCCCTCGCCAAAACTAAGGCGCTGGTGAAAAGTCTGATGAACCGCACTGAGCTGCTGCTCCATGTTACCATTGCCCCACATTGCAGAAGCCTCACCACCACACCTGCTGGCACACCAGGGCCAGGTACATGCCATCCTTTTAGTTGCTAAGTGAAGCCTTGATGGGATTAGAAACTTGTTCCTTCAAGCCTCATGTTGTCAAACCCCCGCACTACTGAAATGTCCTTGAACTAGTGTTCTTATTAAATTTATGGGTATAGTCTTTAATGAATTTTTGGAAACGCACTGTGTCACAGTCCTTTTTCTGTCAAATTAATATTTTTTGTTTGGCTGTAATTAAATTCCTGCATAATTCAGAGGGGTTTCCCCAAGACATCAATCATGGGAGACACAAATGTCTGCCAGTTTTATCTTCACCTAATTCATTTCATTTTTTGCATCAGCCTCTAAGTCGGTGTCAGATGCCAAGACGGTGATCCCCATGGTGAAGCAGCCAGTCTTTCTGCGCAGCATGTCTGCGCCCTCTGACTTGGAGATGATAGCTAACCAAGACTTGGAGTTTATACACGCCCCCCAAAGGTATTTATTTAATAGATTTAATGTTAACAAATCATACAAATGCACAGAGGGTGAATTTATTTATTTATTTAGGAGGCGACATCACCCTACTAGTCATCGCAGCAGCTCATTTACCCTGCTGCAGTCTCTGACCATAGAAGACAGTCATGACAAACCAACATACAGTGTGCTGCTGGGACAGCTGTTTGCCTTTATTGGGACTACACCTGATCAGGCTGTAAGTTTCGTCTTTATCACTTGATGCCTTAGTTTTTTTTTTTTAATTTCTTTGTTGCCATAGCTGCATGAGAATCAGGTGAATTCTGATCTGACATTGAGATGTCTTCTACTTCTCATTTCTCTAGGTTTCAAGCAGCAGTTTTCTGTCTGCTGCACAGACACGTTGGAGACGTGGCAGCACACGGAAGCAGGCACTTGTTCATATGAGGGAGTTACTCACTGCTGCTGTTAGAGTGGGTGGCGTCACCCACCTGGTGGGGCCTGTCACTATGGTACTGCAAGGTGGCCCAAGGTAAGAGGAGCTGAGCCACAATAAACCGTCTGAACCTACTACACATGTGCACACACATGCAACTGCATTAATTGTATTGAAATATTAAATCTATTGTAGCCATCATATTTCATTATTATAAAAACTTGAATGACACAGTATACCAGTGTTTAATTGTGTCTGTTTCCTATATACATCTGTGTTTTTGTGCCATCTGCGCAGGATTGAGGAGCTTACCTGTGGTGGAATGGTAGAGCAGGTACAGGAGGCCTTTGGGGAGACCATGACATCTGTAGTGTCACTATGTGCTCGCTACCCCATTGCTTGTGCCAACAGCATTGGCTTGCTTTGCACAATCCCCTACACCAGGCAAGAGACTCCATCTTGAACTGTCTAAATATTTCTACACCACCAGACCCTCAGACAGCTTACTCTTATTTGTTATCTGTGTTGTCCTAGGAGTGAGGAGCAGTGCCTAGTTCGGAGTGGTCTGGTCCAGCTTATGGACAGCCTGTGTAGTTTAAGTGGTCAAAGGGAATGTAGCTCAAATGAGAAGCAGACCAAAAAGCAGAAAGTGGCCACCATGGCTTGGGCTGCTTTCCAGGTGTTGGCCAACCGATGCATTGAGTGGGAGAAGGTGGAAGGTATGAAAAGTTGGTAGCTCCTCACTCTAATTATGCATGAACTGCAGTCAAGCAAAACTATGATGGTGTTGATTTATAAAAGGTACTATAACTATGGAACGGTAAAGATGTTAAGGCTTTTCCCACTGTCAAATGAAATAGTTGGCTATATGTAATATAGGTTAGTAAGGGTTATCTTTTCTTTTTAAAGGTGGGTCTACAGATGCAGTGCACTCTGGTCTGGCACGGCAGGTGTCCAGCTTGCTGACTAATCACCTGGCCAGAGCCACTGAGTGCTGTGGGAATCAGGCAGCAGGCAATGATGCTTTACAGGATGTGCTCAGTCTGCTCAATGACCTTTCCAGGTAAAGTTTTATGTCCTACATCTCATGTATTTAAATTTGTCATGTATCTCTTTTTTATTTATCTGTTTGTCTGTGTCTGTCTGTCTAATGTATATGTATGTGTGTGTGTGTGTGTTTATTTACACAATGTACGTATATGTTCCTTTGTTTTGTATTTCAGGAGTCACATAGGGAAAGCTATCCTCAGCCAGCCAGCCTGTGTTTCTAAGCTCTTGTCTCTGCTGCTTGATCAGAGACCTTCTCCAAAGCTGGTACTTATCATCCTCCAGCTGTGCCGAGCTGCCCTGCCTCTCATGAGTGTGGAGGACTGTGGTAACGTGGCCTTGCCCTCGTGGAGCTACTCTATTAACACACTAGATGCTGAGCAACAAGATGCAAGTGATCCTGCCTCACGTATCGCTGCCTTGCTACTGGCTAAGCTGGCAGACTATGTAGTACCAGGTTGGTCTTTCTTACCTAGGAGTACTACATAAATGTGTGCAAGAGGGGGTGGCACAAGTAAGCACATGCCAAAGACATGTTAAACTGGATAAACAACTGGATAGTCATGAAGTTAACTTCCTCTGGTAATTCTTCATAATTACAGTATTCCCTCTTTTCTAGGCTGCCAGACCCTGCTCTCTCCCAGCTCCTCTGAACCTGACACTAGTCTGTCCCGAGCCAGTTCCAAAGGAGCTCTGAAGTCTGACGATGTTGGGGAGGAGGGAGAGGCTGTTGATGGCAAGCTGTCAATTTTTATACACAAAAGAGAGGACCAGTCTTCTCATGAGGTTCTACAACCACTCCTCAGGTAAGATTTCCCCAAAGGTTGTTGTTTGCATTTCCCATTAGCGAATTTAATTTAGGTTTCTCTGACATGAGTGTTCTTCCACTGTCTCCACAATGCAGTAGCTCAGAGGGACGCCCCTTTCGGCTTGGCACTGGGGCGAACATGGAAAAGGTGGTAAAAATGGACAGAGACATGACCAAGGTAAAAGTTTTGATAGGATGAAAGATCAAAACTAATAATAGAATTTTTATGTTCACCATACCAATTAGGACTGTTACTGTAGCCTTTTCTCACATCCATGCTATTTGAATCTCTCCCTAGAATGGTTGCTGTGAGGTGATCACAGAGGAAGCATCTGCTGCCCTGAGGAAGGCCAACAAGTGGGCCCAGTCTGGTCTGATAGTGAGTGTCGGTCCACCTATAGAGACTCTGGCCCAGGAGACAGCTGGAGGCATCACCACTGGTGACAAGAAGAAAACTGCTCAGACTGCTGTGTGCCGGGACAGGAATGCTGAGCTGGCCAGGTATGATTAACAGTTTTATGTGCAGACGCAGGTATGATTAACAGTTTTATGTGCAGCAGACAGAGTATGCCATATTATGTTCAACCTGTGTATGTAACAGACATCACTCTTGATTGTGGTTGTAATATCTCTTCTTAAAACCTGCCTTGAATAGGTCGGACCCTGTCAGGCCATTCATCAGTGGCCATGTTGCCAATAGTATGGCTGCTGAGGTTATTGCTCTGCTGCATAGTCTGCTCACTGCTCCTGAGTCCAACACTGCTCAGATCTGGACAAGCACTGCTGAAAAAGTAAACAATGATCACGTTTCTGCCTGCATAGCAATTACTACACTTGGAACTAGTAACTGATACTGTATCTTACAGCAAATACTCACTAGAGTATCATTAAAATCATTGAAAAGAATTTCTATTTAGGCTGGCACAGTAATACTGTGATAATGTTTGTTATAATTGTTTTGTGGTAGGTGCTCTCCCGGGCGCTAATGTTTATCCCTCAGTTGGGGAAGTATGCGGAGAGTATTCTGGAGAATGGCAGCAGCAGTGGCAGGAAGCTGGCTAAACTACAAGCCATTGGCAGACAGGCTGTTGCTGCACTCTGTGCCCTTGGAGGATTCAAAGAAACTATCAAAATTGGCTCTGAGGTCCAGGTTGGTTAAAACGGTGAAAATGTTATGTTTGCCTATTAACTCAAGCTATAATCTGTATAGGAGATAAAAGGACTTCAACATGGCATCATCTTATCCATTGAAAGCAGTGACATGGTAACTGCTGGCAAATTTTGTTTTTCCTTTCTTCTTCTGCTCTGCAGGTGGTAGGTAAAGGTGTGCTGGGCAGTGTGGGCATAGTTATGTCCATAAATGAGCAGGAGGGCATTGCTACTGTCAAGTTTCCTTCCTGTGAGTACAGGAGAGCTTGCAAAGCTTCAGACATCCTGACAGTACCTGTATCACGCCTCTGCACTCCCAGATCTGAGGTATTATTTCCATTATCCAGCACAGTGCAGGTCTTGTTTTAATGAAAAATCACAGCCTGATACTTAGGTGTGTCTCTCTTATGTCCAATAGGCTCTCCCGCTTTATAAGCTTTCAATCACAGAAAAGGTGGTACAAGCAGTGCAGTCCATGCTTCTGCCACAGGAAGGCAGTCTCTCCATTCACACTTCTCTACCAGCTACAGGAGATGGCTCCAGCCCAGTAATGGCTGCAGTGCGCTTGCTAGCTGAAATCAGAACCAGGTTAGTAACAGTGATGTAGATAAACTTGTCTGCCATTTATTTCATGACAGAGTGGTGGATACTGATGTATCAGATCTGTCCTGTTTTGAGAGTACTTTGTCGGCTTTACAAGTCCCAAATTTACTGATGGTCTAAGGTGTAGCAGTGAGAATATGACCAATTCAAACCCTTGGAGACTGTAACTCTGAATATACAATGTATTAATATTGGAAAAAGTCCAATTATGCCCAACAAAACCATAGTTTGGGCAGAGTTTTTGCTGGTGTTTTTCAGGGCATGCCTGGTGATGGCGCAGCTCCTAGAGGATAGCTCTTTCTGTGAAGAGTTCATTCAGCAGTGTCCTGCAGCTGTTGAGGTTCTCAACCTGGTTGCCCAAGAATGCAGCCCCGGTGAGCATGTCCAATCATTTGAGCACCTAGAACTTCTTAAATACTGTATGTTTTATTTCGGTGTACCTGCTGGCTACTGTGTGTCTAACAGAGTTCTGACACCTTGTGCAGGAGAGCGTCTTGGCATGGTTGAGGCTCAGTGTGAAAGAGTGAGAATGCTTTATCGGGACTGTGCTCGGCCTCCTCCTCCACCACTGCAGACAGACAGACGCCAGGTGGGAGATACCAAATTTATTGTATAGTTTTTGTTTTTATTCGGGATGCCCTGATCCAGTCTTTTTGGCCACGATACCAATCCGATTCCTTGAAAATTAAGTAGGCTATCTGCCCATTCTGATCCGATACTTATATTTATCTACAGTAAATGTTCATTAAATATCTAACATATTGAAATTGAAATAAATCTGGCACATTGTATTTTTCAGGAGCTTTTTTATTCAAATACTGGATCAGGTCATGGTTCTGAAATATTAAGTTTATCTGAAATTATTTATATGAAACAAAGAATAACTGGGAGCTGGACAGCACACTTTCAGAACTACAGATTCATTACAGGGCAGATACTAACTACTACTTTTTGTCCCTATATGAGCCCACAGTTTGACAGCTTAATAACCCTTCATTAACAAAAGGTGGCAACTGTCAAAACACCGCTGGACAAAAGCATAAAACTTACCATGTCTACACCAAAAGCACAGCGTGTGCAGCGCATAACATCTTGCACATTGCCGGAGGCTCACACTAATGTCTGTTCTGGGCAGGAACACTCCGAGGAGCCTACGGAAACACTTTGGAAAAGGGAGAACTATGGTCCAAATCTCCAACAAATAATAGACAGTGAGAAAATTGCTGGCTACATTTGCATGTATATGTACGGTGTACAGTATACACCAAGAACTGCCATGTTCAGTATGACTGATGTAACTGATAATAGCTTGTGTTTTCACTGTTTTTGCTTGATATATTTCGCTATTTTGGTGGAGATCTGGTTGGAGCTTTCATTGTTTTGGTAGATTCTGTGGAGTGTTTTATGCATGCAGCGGTGAAAAAAATAAACTTGAAGTTAGAAATAGGCTTCAGGTTGTGCCAGTCAACACATGCCCAGTGTGGACAGCTGAACCGATTAATATAGCAACTGTGACACACACATGTCAGAAATGCTACTGAGTTCACTCAAATACAAAAGTACAGATCTAAATAAGGATCGAAATTGGATCGGCTTTATTCTGGCTGAGATTGATCCTATGAAAGATGCCCAGATCAGCACAGATGCCGATGCTTAGTATTGGATTGGGACAGGTTTTTATTCATTAAATTTTTTGCAGTAACCAACAACAAATGTATAAGAGATCCACTCTCATGTAACATAAATATGGACTGGCTGTAGTGGAAAATACAGAATTGCCATGGAAGGAGATGGAAAAACAATCTTTTTTGCAGAGACAGAAAAAGCGCTAACTAGTTTGTTGGACCCAATTTTCTCTTTGTACTTTTGATATTTTTACGTCACCAGCCCAAGGAGATTACTTGGTGTCCATCCAGAGTGTTCCCTCCAGTCCGTGCCTGCATGTTCTCATCCCGTCTGACCTCTGTCACCTTCTTGGCTGATCCAAGTGCTGGAGGGGGACTGCCCAGAGGCACTTTCATCTATGCTACATCTCCTGTACCAGTTCAGGTGGGCACCTCACAGTGCTCCTGCATTACAATTTGCCATCTCCGTTTGTAACGTGAATTAGTGAGATAAAATCATGCACTGATACTGCAGCCTGTCCACAGTCTTTCATTTATTTCTCTTTGTCTCTGCAGGCCCCATCCTTTTACTGGGAGATAGAAATTGTCTCCTATGGAGACTCTGAGGAGGACAGTGGCCCAATTGTGTCCTTTGGTTTTGCTACTGAGGCAGAAAAGAGAGACGGAGCATGGACTAACCCTGTTGGCACATGTTTGTTTCATAAGTATGTTTATTTGCACTTTAACCCTGAGAGACTGTTTTTTTCCCCCCACTGGCCTGTCTGTGACTTAAATGCTAACTGCTATCCTTCTCTTTTGTGTTGGACAATCTCTGTGTGTCTGTCTCCTGTCTGTGTCAGTAATGGTAGGGCCGTGCATTATAATGGCTCCAGTCTTCTGCAGTGGAAGAGTGTCAGGCTGGATGTGGCTCTACTTCCTGGTGAGACAGAAGACAAAATGTTTTTCTTTATTTACAATATACTAGGGGTGTAACAGTCCTCCCGCCTCCCCAGCAAAGCTGTAGCAAGAACAGAGGAGAATACTTGATACTGTGTCCACTCAGTTTCACGGTCATTTTGAGACTGGAAATACTTTGTTGTTGTAGTTGTGGACTATCATCTGAAAAGATGTCTGATACAGTTTTTCTTCACAAACCACAGCAATAAAATCATCATAGAATCTGTAATTGAACCGGTTAAACTAAAAATTGTGTGTGTTCCTGTACAAATCATTAATTTAACCTCTTTTTACTACACAATTCTTTTAAAATTAGGTTCTTCTCTAGTGTTCCACATTGTTGGTGATTTAATTCCCATTTAAAAAAAAACCATTACCCCCCCTACAATATACCGTCCCTTTGTTTGATTTAGTCTACTTTTAAATCCATATTGCAGAATCAATGATACTAATTTGAACTGAACTCCTTAACATCAGTGTCTTATCTGGCTCCTCTTTCAGCTGAACTTTATAAAAGTGTCGGCATGTTTTGAAATATGTAATTACCTGTTAACATTGAGTCATTACTGAAATGGTGAGCTTGTATTTGCATAAATGCAGGTGATGTGGCTGGAATAGGCTGGGAGCGTTCTGAGGGCACACCTTCACCTCCTGGTCATGCCCCTAAAGGCCGGGTCTACTTTACCTACTGTGGCCAGCGGCTGAGCCCCATTCTTGAGGATGTAGCTGGTGGAATGTGGCCATTGGTACACATTCAAAAGAAGGTAGGTTTTGCTGAATAAAACAACCTTGAAAAGTGTGTATTTGAACTGTTGTATAATTTGGCTCATTGCCTAAATTTAATGTGCACTATATTTTCTTTGCTTCTTCAACAGTTTTCCCTCTGGGTTTATGTAGTTAATCTTCTGTTTTTTAAATTTTCTTTTGTAGAACTCAAAGATCCGTGCCAACTTTGGAAACCGGCCATTTGCATACGCAGAAGGCCAAGCACACAGAAATGCAGCTGACTTGTGTGTAGACCTTGCAGAGGAAATAAGTGCAAATTTTGAAGCACTGCCTTTTGCTATGGCCTCAGACAGTGATAATGATGCAGGTGCTAGTGTTACTTCAGACTCTGGCTCCCATGGACCCCCTTGTCGGATTGCAGCTGTTGCAGTCGCACAGCAACGTATGTCTATCACCAGTATCTCAGATTTCTGTAGTGTGTGTATCATTTTAAGCATTTGTTAAAGTCTGCATTTTCTCTTGGTCTTTTTCTGTTGATGCAGAGTACAACAGTGACCTGTCGTGCCATTATAAGGTTGAGCTGAGCTATGAGAACCTGGTCACCTCTGGGCCTGACCCACATCCTCCACCTATTGCAGATGATGAGAGTGATGATGAGGATGATGACGATGTCCCAAGGGTGAGTGAGACCTTTGCTTCTTCACAGTGTCTTCACAAAAAGGTGTGTGCCTGTATATTTAACTTATTTTGGTTTGGTTTTGACCTTAGGAGGACCACTATGCCCTGCTGGTCAAGGCCTGGGAGACCAAAGTGTTCCCTACCATTCGTAGGCGGTTCCGTAACGAGGCAGAGAGGAAATCTGGCCTGGACCAAATCAAAGGAGCTCTCCAGCTGGGTAAAAAATGAAAGAATATCATTAAAACATACATCGATTAGACACAACATTAAAACCACTTGCCCAATCCTGTGCTGCCAAAACAGTACTGACATGTCGAGGCATGGGCTTCACAAGACCTCTGAAGGCGTCATCTGGTATCTGACACCAAGATGTTAGCAACAACAGATCCTTTAGTCCTGTAAGTTGTGAGGTGGGGCCTCCATGGATTGGACTTGTTTTTCCAGTACATCTCTCTGATGCACAATCAGATTGAGATATGGGGAATCTGGAGGCCAAGGCAACACTTCGTCATGATCCTCAAACCATCCCTGATCAATTTTTGCAGTGTGGCAGGGCACATTATCCTGTTGATAGAGGCCATCAGGGAATACTGTTGCCATGAAAGGGTGTATTTGGTCTGCAGCAATGTTTAGGTTGCTGATCTGTGTCAAAGTAACATTGATATGGATGACAGGACCCAAGGTTTCTCAGCAGAACCTTGTCCAGAGCATCGCACTATTTCTACTGGCTTGTCTCACAGTGATTCCTTGTGGTAAGCGACACTTATCACCTGGCCATCTCTGTGATGTAAAAGAAAATGTGATTCATCAGACCAGATCTTCTTTTTCCACTCCTGCATAATTTAGTTCTGATGCTCACATGCACGTTGTAGGCGCTTTTGGCAGCGTAGGCACTCTGACCGGTCTGCCCCTTAAGCAGCAACTTGTGATTCATTGTGTGTTCTGACATAGCCAACATTAGGTTCAAGTTGTGCTACAGTAGACCTTTTGTGGGGTTGGGCCTGATGACCTAGCCTTCAGATGCTTTTGGTCTTTGTCAAAGTTGCTCATATCCTTAAACTTTATAGCGCATTCTCCTGCTGTCAGCTCATCAACTTCAAGAATTAACTGTTCACTTACTGCCTAATATCTCCCACCCCTTGAGAGTGCCATTGTAATGAGATAATCAGTGTTATTCACTTCACTTGTCAGTGGTTTTAATGTTGTGACTGACCAGTGTACACTTATACAGGGTGGGTCACAGAAAAGTAGCCCGAGCAAGTGGATTGTTTTGGCTACTTTTCCGTAGCTCACCTGGTAGTTTCAGAGCACAAGCCAAATTATTATAACATAAAACACTTCAAGCTGTTTTCAACATCATTTGACAAAGATGAGGAGTAGCTCAGCAGATCCATGTTGTAAAAATGTTGTGAAATAATTTTTGCGTTTGAATCTAATTATGAATACGACACAAACAGAAAGAGGGTTGCTGGCATGGCATTTCTAAAAGTTGTCAGAAATGATGCCATAAATCATTAGTGGTCAAAACTTGCTTAAAAAACAATGAAACAGAATAGAACTGGAAACAATATAAAGGTGAAGAACTTCTCAATTTCCATTGTGTACTTCCACTGCATATTGGCACCAGTTTTAGAATCACATTTTTATTGCTGAAGTGCTTTCTGCCTCATTGCTAATAATTTTGGTGCACTCATGCAAGTTACAAGTGGTGCACTTTCATAAATAGATTTTAAAATTAATTATCCTTTAACAGTTCAGAACAAGGTGTAACAATTATGTTGCTGCAGTTGTATTTGACATCAAATTAACTGACAAAGGTTAACAGCCTATTTATTGGGTTTACAGTATAAGCTAGGTGTCAGTTTATTAAATGAATGATTGACTAAACCATACGCATCCTGAGTCTATGCATATTTTGTGCTAATGTTATGTTTGGAAGTTTAGCAAAGATCTTTGGATAATTAAGGTTAGATAAAGACGTCTGTGGCACTGCTTGCATCTGTGGTGTGTTTCATTGGCAACAGGAATGGTTGACATTGCTAGACAGACAGTGGAGTTCCTGTATGAAGAGAATGACCTCTACCTCCCTACCATTGAGGATATCAAAGATGAGGCCAACAAGTTCACTATTGACAAAGTTCGCAAAGGTACAATTCACCTACATCACTACACAAACAAAGCTGAAATGACGTCAGGGAACATCGCTATTGATCTTGATGATAACCTCCTTTTCATCGCAGGCTTGACTGTCGTCATCCGCTGTCCTGACAGCAACAATACTAACAGCACAACGGGGGGAACAGCACTGCCAAAGTTTGCTATCCGGGGCATGTTGAAGACTTTTGGTTTGCATGGGGTAGTCCTGGATGTGGACTCTGTGAGTACAATACTTAGTGCTTCAGTATTTTGTACCTTAAACGGTAAACTCACTTGTTTCTGTGTACTTGTGTATTTGTTCAGGTGAATGAACTGGTACAGGTGGAGACCTACCTGCGCAGTGAGGGGGTGCTGGTGAGGTACTGGTACCCTATTGAGATGCTGGAGCGCCCGCCTGCTGGATCTCGACGCACTGCAGCTAATGGCTTAGTCTCACTAGATAGTAGCAACATTCAGATTCATAGGTACAATATGGACCCAGTGGGGTTGAGCTTAATGTACAGCAGAAGCATCCTTTACCTGTGCTTAAAATCACATCTCTTTTATTACTTTTCTTCAGGGAGCTGCTTCGCTGTGAGAGCGCACTGGCTCGGCTATACTGCCGTATGGCCCTGCTCAACATCTTTGCCCCCAAGAATCCCCATACCTTCACTCGTCTCTTTCACATACCTGCTATCCGTGACATCACCTTGGAACACCTGCAGCTTCTGTCTAATCAACTGCTGGCTCCACCGCTCCCTGGTGAGTTTAAATATGGTTTGTTGGATAACTGGACCTCTCAGTCTAAGGTTCTTCTTTCTAGGTCTCTTTTAAATGTGGCAAATTTGTTCTTCCTACAGATGGAACTATTAGTTCTAATTCTATTCTACTGGCCCAGTCAGTGCTTCATAATCTCCAGGGCCAAAGCTGCTCACCCACAGACCTGTTCTATCAGGGCAATGCTCAGCCCATCCGAGAGTGGCTGACAGTGGCCATCACCCGTGCTTTGCATCAAGGAGAGGAAAGCTTACTGGAGCTGACAAAGCAGATCTGCTGCTTCCTACAGGTCAGACCTCACCAGTTCTTGAATCAGTATACTTTTCTCTGGATGCATACCCACTTTGTGAAACTGCTAAACATCTCTTGTAATTCTGTTCACTTTGACAGAATGCACCAGAGCAGTTTACATCTGAGGAGTTTCCTGTGACAGAATCAAAGGTTAGCATGGATGTCAGCTTTCCAGGCGCTGCATTTGTAATCGCATCATGCAAGGAGAGCCAGCTGGGCTGCCGCAAAGAGTGAGTTACCTTGCTGTATTAAACTTCATGATGAACTAAGATTTCTTACCCTCATTTCCTCTAAATTGTTTTGAAATGTTGTCTTTTCCACTATTAGCTCAAGCTTGTACAAGGCTCCCTGGGCTCGAGTCATGGTGTATGGCCTGGGCCACAAAGTGCGTAGAAATGGCCAGCTAAATCTAATGGAGGCCGTGTGCTATCCGCTGAATGCCTCACCTACCAACACAGGTCTTACTCCCCCTCCCACCACCAACCAGTACCCCTCTGTTATCATACCTACTGATAAGGTGCACATCAAACTTGGTGAGTATCTTTGCAAAAGGAAGTTGAGACGACTCTGCCTAGGGTGTCTGTCTGTGTGTGGGTGTGTCTGGTGTCTTACAGTTAGCCTGTGTGAAATGACTTGATTATGAATTGGGAGCACCTGAGTCTGCTGCTCTGCAGAGGTTAAACGCTGCTGGTTCCAGGCACATGCTATAATTTGGCTGTGAGGCTCTGCTGGCTTGTTGTTGCTGCTCTCTGCCTGCTGTGTTATACTGCCATTAATTCATTTACCTGTTTGTTTTTGCACCTTTCAACACCCCTATGCTATTTTCTATGCTCAGCCACACTGATATGACTGATTTATACACGTCATGCGTTATTCATTTAGTTTTTATTTGTTCAATAACTTTAGGTTACACTAATGGAAACTGTGTTTTTTCCCAGTTTTGCCATGGCCTATGAGTCGGTTTATGACACAGCGGGGACTTGTTCTGTTGTATTTACATGATTTAGGACTGATATTGGCTAATGTGTTTAAACTGTCTCTGTTGGCCAGTGATCGCACTTCTACTGGCCCTGGTTGTGTATTTGCTGAATGTTTGGCCTGATTGTTTTGCCAGTAAGCTTATGCTTCCTGATTTGGTTTGTAGTACTGCACATCACTCCTTGCCATCAACGTTACTGCTGCATCACTTCCTGATTTTCCCAAACTGCGGGGCAGACCGAGGGTCATAATCACAGGATGTGTGTGTATTAATCATGACTCAGAAAGATGTGTGGCATTAAAA